CGTGGCTGACCTTTCCCAGCTCAGTTCTGTCTTCCCAAAGGAAGTGTGTAGAATACCAACCACCTGGTTTATCCTGTATTTCCTTTCCATTGGAGGTTTATCTCACCATTCCCAGAAGTGAAGGAAATCCTCTTTCAACACAGCCTCTTCTTGTCCACTGGACCTGTGCTGGAATCACAGAACAGAATATTCCCAGCTGGAAGGGACCCATATGGATCATCAAGTCCAGTTGAGGGAGGGAGGTATTGGGTTTGGGGCCCTTGGGATGTAGCCCTTTGCAAATGACAGAGAAACAGTGATGACCCCCATGCTGGGGGACATAAAGCAGGTAGCAGAGAGGAGAGGTGGGAGAAATGTTCCCTGACAGTTTTGAAGTTTAAGCAAGCATCAGAGTTCTGTAATATGGATGACCTCATGTTTGTGTTTTGGTTTGGGTTTTTTTACGCCCTGTATTTTGTACTGCTCTTCCAGAGTAGGGCTGTGGCATTCACATTCCCTGAACATGATTCCTTAGCCCAGGATTTTTCTCCTGGGAAGATGAAAGGCAGCGAGAAGCCCCAGAAAAAAGAAAAACAATTCTTATCTTATTTGCTTCTCCTGTGCTGTGCTCATGTGAAATGTGTTTAGAGATTGTTTACCCAAAAATGATTGCCTGATTAGACTCTGGTGTGAGTTTTGACTCATTGGCCAGTTGGGGCCAAGCTGTGTCAGAACTCCGGAAAGAGTTTTCATTATTATCTTTTTAGCATTCAGTAAGTATCTTTTCTGTATTCTTTAGTATAGTACAGTATAGTATGGTATTCTTTAATATAATATAGTATAATAAAGTAATAAATTAGCCTTCTGATAAGATAGAGTGAAATGCATCATTCTCTCCACTTGCTGGGGTTGCCTGCCTTTACAATATAGGGCAGTACCTCCAACTGGAGAATAACAAAATAGCTGTTATTACCTCCTCTTCTACAACCAGGCCTGCATCTTTCATGTGCTTTGGGCTGACTGTTCAGGTGCAGCAGTTTGTGGACTGAAAGAAGGAGGATGTTGGAACTGAGAAGAAAGGATTTACTCCTTGGGGTTCAATTGTCTGCAGTTAGGGAGAGGGGAAGCAATTATGAGCAATTCCAGTGCCTGACCAGTACACAAAGCCAGTCCATCTCCCTGGGATCCACATTCCATTCTGCTGTAGTTAGGTGTCAGATTCAAGGAGCTGGAGTCTTTGTTCTTTTTGGCAAAACATTGGACTTTCCATAGGAACATCCAACACCTTGTATTTCTGCTGGGTGACTAAATGACAGGAGATTCTTTCTGCAGGATCTTGTATGAAGTTCCATCTTCTACTTCTCTGCAAATGAACTTGGTCCAGGCTCAATGTATGGATGCAGGAAGATGCAGGGGAGCAGGGAAGAGCTGTCACCCATTGTGTCCAGTGCTTGTCCTGCTGTTGTCTCCTTCAAAAGACAGCCTCAAATCAGATCCCACCACTTCCAGGATGTGCTTGGCACAAATTCAAGCATTTTGCTGTCTGCTCAGAATGCCATGTTTTGCTCTTCTCTCTCTGAGTCTTGCAGTCCTGAAATGGAGCACCTTCCCTACAACCAGCATGGAACACACCTGTAGCTTCAGTCATCTTTCCCCTAGGGAACCAGGGTGTGGTCATGGCATTTGTGTGCTGCAGTCTCACAGCCTTGCCAGATTTGAGCCCTGGAGGCTCTTCCCATATTCCCCAAATGGATGGGAAAGCAAAAACTCATGTATGTTGGTGAAGATTAAACACAGCTTTCTGATACTATGTAAATAATTTTGATACTTAGTCTATGAGTTACAGGCATTTGTAAAAAACTTCAGCCTTTGTTTCCAGCAATCCTATCCATCTGAAAGCATGTGCATTTCAAAACAGGTCTTCTGTGTGGAAGACACATTAAAATTAAAAATAGTGTATTCTGCCTTATCTAGCCTGTTTTTTTTTCCCTACAAGTTCTTCAAACCAGGTAACAAAAATAGTTTAGTTCTATTCAATCAGGTTTAGTCTGATTTTTAAAATCCTATTGCAGAACTTCAGTGTTTCAGGCTGCATGGTATCAAAATATACTTTATTAGACAGGAGTGCTCTTTGGAACTTCAGTCATTGGAATGTTCTTCTCAGTCCTAGCTTTTAACAGCTGCTTTCTATGAAATGCAAACTTCTACCACTGGGATTTAGCATGCTTAATTTGTTCAGCATATAGGTACCATCTCAGTCAATAAATAACTCTTTTTCACTGTTATTTTTTCCACCTTCTTGAATCTTACTGCATTTTAGTCTTTAATTCCAGGTAATTTTTCTTTTTAAACAAACAAAAAGCATGCAAAACTGCATTTCCTTGCACATGTAGGGCACATGTAGAATGCATCCATGTTATCAGAGTTGTAGGAGCGTGTCAGTTTCTACAGAAGAAAAGATGCAGCTTTTACCGCAAGATCACATGGATTTACTTGAATGGTGCAGAGTAGATTTTCTTTCTGAATCCCTCTAAAAAAATTAAATGCTGTCCTGTGAAGCAGGGTTAGCCCAGACTGAGACACCAGGCTGCAGTTCCCAGGATGGCCAGGGATAATACACAGGAATCACCAGGCTGTGTTTCACAGCTGGAGCAGGGAGAGGCTCGCATCTTTATCTTTCCTTCTTCCTTCTCCTCTCTTTTCCTTTGTCCTGCACTGTGATGGTATTTCTTGTCCATCTCACTGTCCTTTTGCCTGTACCTGTCTGCATCTGCTGCTCAGTCCTTTTCCCTCGCTGTACTCTTCTCTTTATAACCCTCTGTCCTGCTGCCCATCCCTCTCTTTCTCCATCCCTCTGCTGCACCTTCCCCCCACACTCACCTGCTGTGGTCACTTTCTCTCTCTGTCCTTGCTTCCCTCTTTGTCTCTGTATCCCTCTGTCCTTCCTGTGTGTTTACCACTCTGTCTTTTTATTTGTCCTTCTTGCATACATTTTTATTCCTTTGTTAGGAAAATTAATCCACAAACACCAGAGGTTAATGTCTGAAAAGGAGACAGAGGAGTCCTTTTTTTGGCTTTATTCGAATAAAGGGAGAGGTCATGGGGCATTCCCCTGGGATATCTCAAATTTTTGGAGGATGCAGCCTCCTTTTTATCCTAATTTCCCGGCTGCATTTCCCTTCTCTCTTTCCCCATTGGCTGAGGTACTTGAGAGGTACAGACTCCCTGATACACCTGATACTGAAGATTTCCCCCTAATGTATAATCCTCCCTTTAAATTTTAATTGATATGGAATTTAGGAGTTTTTCTTCCTCATCGTTTCTTTCATCTTGCAATGTGTTATTTCATTTATCAGCAAACCTAAAGTTTATTTGTAAAAGCAAATATCCTTTTCCATTCATCAATCAGTGGAATCCTTCCCATTGTTTCTTTTGTCTCCCAGTGCTAGTTTTATCTACCAGCAGACCCACAGTTTGTTGGTAAAGACAAATCTGCTATTCCTCTCACCCTGTTGCTCTGTCCTGCTCCCTGTGCCATTGTTTTTCACTGGATCCTTCTGTCCCATTCCCTGTCCCTATTCTTTTTAAACCCCTCTCCATCCTGCTGCCCATCCCAGCTGTTTTTATTTCATCTCCATTCTGCACCCTGTTCTTCCTTTTCTTCCTGTGTCCTGTCTGCTCCCACTCCCAGTTTGTCTGTCCCTGGTGCTCCCATTGCACTGCTGGATGGGTCCGTGAGTGCAGGTTGGGGTCTTGGAACTCCAGCCCTGGCGGGGTCCTGCAGCGGCAGGGACGGGAGGATGCCACAGACATGTTTTATGAAAAATCATTTCCTTGGGATTTTTTCTCCTGAGAAGCTGAGAGGCTTCAGGAACAAAATGTAAACATGATTATCTGCTGCTGTGGAATGCAACAGGTGCGTCTGTGATTGGTCTCATGTGGTTGTTTCTAATTAATGGCCAATCACAGTGAGCTGGCTTGGACTCTGTCTGAGACACAAGCCTTTGTTATCGTTTTTTCTTAATCTATTCTTAGCTAGCCTTCTGATAAAATCCTTTCTTCTATTCTTTTAGTATATTTTTAATATAATATATATAATAAAATAATAAATCAAGCCTTCTGAAACATGGAGTCAGATCTTCATCTCTTCCCTCATCCTGGGACCCCTGTGAACACGGTCACAGGAGGAGGCAGCTCCAGCTGCTGCCCGAGCACGGGAAGGGAGCGGGAGCCGCGGCCCCAGCCCGGGCACGCTGCCCCCGGGCCGGCCACCAGCCTGGGACAGTGACACTGCGCTCCAAGGTCCCTTCCAACCCAGGCCATTCCACGATCCATGGAAACACTGCAATATCTCCATGTGAATGGAGCAAAGTTTATAAATACAGGGATGTTTTGATAACACTTGGGGTTTGTTGACATTTGTATTAATGGTTGTTAAATCATGAGGGGAGATAACAGGACAGATGGAAAATGGAGTTTGTCCCTGTACTTATTTTTATTTATTATTTATGCTTACGGACATGTTTATAATGTTTCTATAGATATGGATATTATTATACATACGTTTATGGATGAGACACACAATCTTTATGAATCTGCCAGGCTCTGGGGAGATTTACTTCCTCAGAAAATGATGATTCCGATGTATATCATGGTAGGCATTGGTGTAGTGTGGGATGGTACTGAGTATTACCTGAATGGTGCTTAAAGTGAGATACCTGCTCTTGCACCTTGTTAAAAGAGGGGCTAATTCTAGGAAATAAAACTGTTTGTCTGTCTCACATGTCGCAAATTTCTCCAGTGTTGTGGTGTCTTTCGTTTAATAGAGTGAGTTTTCTTGTGGTACTGACTTAAATAAAACAACTGCATAATATTGACATAATTTAGTTCCACTTCACAGCATTTTAGAGTTGCCATTTTTTGATTTGGTCTCATTCTCTCAGAGCAAATTTCATAACAATTACAGTAGCTGTTTTTACAGTATTGAACACTTTTTTCTTGATTCCTGTCAACAGTAACTTCTCCTGTACCATCCCTTGTGATGGTTCACGGGCTGTTTGGCTTTTTAAAAGAAAATATTTATGCCATTTTTGTCCACAGTGTTTCTGTCTTTCACTAACATTTTCCAATTCATTAAACCTTAAATTTATAATTTTATATGATATATATGTATTTATTTTTTTCCCTATGCATAATTATCTTTGTTATCTGAAAATTGTATTTCATGTTAAATCCCTCTTGCCCCTTGTAATTATCATACGGTTTTCACCTTCAGCCCATGACCTTTTGGTGCCTTATTTTTATTCATTTTGACATATTATGTGATTTGTTTCATTTCTTTTCATATCAATACAATCTTACTAAACCTGCCTAGAATCTACGGTATTATTGTGCTTGTGAAATTCTTCTGTGGGTAACGATGGACTCATTCTGTCAGTAAAACCTTATTCCCACAGAAAGCACTTGGAACTGCAAATCCAAAAGCTCAGCCCCGGTCCCGAGTGCTTTTCCTTGCCCCGCCCCTGCTGTCCCGGTTCCAGGGACGCTGAGGAGCGCCAGCAGATGGGGCTGGAACGCTGCACAGGGAAGCGCTCCCGGCGCGGAGGGAACATGGGCACAGGGCGATGCCGGCGGGTCTGAGCTCCGCTGAGCTCCCGCTGTCTGCTGCACTTCCAGAGGAGGAGGCCCCGCTGCAGGAGGAGCCGGGAGGCGGAGAAGAGGCGCCGCGAGTTGTGGATTTGGAGCAGCTGGTGCCCGTGGGGGGCGTGTTCCACATCTCTGTCCTGCGGCTGCCGCCCCAGGCCCAGGACGTCGGGGACTGGATCGTGGTGGAGGTGAGGGAGGACAGGGAGCAGCCCCTGGGGTTTGTCACTGCTGTCACATGCACTGCACACGAGTTCCTGACAGCAAACTGACCGGGCAAGGTTTGCAAATAACCAGTTTTTCACACGTGAAAGGTGGGAGCACAGTGGTACCAAACCCCACTGCTGGCTCAGCTCCAGGCCCTGCAGGCTGGCTGAGGACTGCGGGCGCTGGGTTCTGGTTTCCTCTAGCGCCGACCTACCCCACAGAGGGCACTGTGGAGCTGGAAACCTTTAATAAGCACAATTCCCAAAAAGCCAAAGGCAGAGGGCAGGGGAAGAGGCCCAGGATGTTCATTCCCAGCCCCTGTGGCCTCCCGTTCCCTCTGGCCCTGTGGGACAGTGCAATCACAGCCGCCTTTGCCTGCCCTGCTCCCGCTGCCTGGGGCTCTGTGAGGAACGGCCGAGCCCCAGGCCCTGCCCTGAGGGCGCTGCAGCAGCTCAGGAGGGGCCCGGGGCCTCCCAGGGCTGCTCTTCCACTGCCTCCAAAGCCGGGCTTGGACACCTGCAGGGTTAGCCAACCATTTTAAATGGGTGTTAAAAAGCTTCGCAGTGTTAGATGAACTCAAAGAAAAAATCCTGCGTTTTCTGATAAACCCCTTATCTGTCCTTTTCCTCTCTTGCCAAAGCTGCTGGATGTTGGATTGGAGGAGTATCCATATTCCCCAGGAAAGGCTGAAGATGGCACACAGGAAGCAGTACAGATCACCCTGAGGCTCCCTGATAATGTGATTTATTTTAAAGTGCCTGTGCTAGCCCGATGGGATCCTGCAGGTCTGAACTGAAGACATAAATTTATTTCAAATTTGAATAGTGGAATTTATACCTGAGTCAGACTGCTGTTACAGTCCAGCTGTAAAGATAAGGGCCAGTTTGGAGCCCAGAAATAGTTTGGGGACTTGAATGTTAATTGATTTGGGGATTTTACATTTTCTTTTTATTACTACTTCTTTGGTTTGTTTTACTTCAGCATTGCTGCCAGAAGCCTTCCATGTACATCTTTCCATCGTCTTTGTCCAGGCCAATGGTGGAGAACTGATGGCATCAGCAAGATAACCTATGAAGCAGAAAAAAAGAGCATCACCTTCAGCATGGGTGGCTTTTCTACAGTAGCCCTTCTCCAGGATGCTCACCTGAACCTGCCCTATCAGGCCTGGGAATTGCACCCTACTGGTGTGGATGAAGGCCTGTTCACAATTACTGCAGTCTTTGCAACCATTCAGATACAAATTAAGGTACTGTCTATCATTTTTTAATCAAACATTTGCAGATAAACCCCCCCATAATTATTACAATGTCCCTGATTAAGAATTTGGGATGCTTCTGTGAGAGCAATTTGAAACTCTCTTCCTTTCCAAGCATGCACTGGTTATTTAATTTCAGTTATTTACTATGAGAAATAGCACATTTCACATAGCAGAAATGTGCATTTGCTCTGGAAAGTTTCAGTCAGTGCTTTGCTGCTGGTTTTGCCTTGCTGCATTCAAGCCTGTTCCCCCTGCTAGAGAGCTGAAAAGTTCCTCTCTCCTCCAGCTCTACCAAGAGAAATACAGGGAGTTCTGGCAGCCCAGTACCCATGCTCCTTGTTTCTTCCCAAAGTTCAAGCTACTCATGATTATCCATCTGTTCATTGGTGTATAAATCAGTACACCAGGGTCATTTCTGATTCCTACACAAGGCTGGCTTTCTTCAGGATCTGTAAATGAAAGGTCACAGCCCAGAGTAGCAGATGATGTGGGTGATACCCAGCATAGCAAAAATATCAATATTTGAAGCCTAACCCAGAAAGGAGCTTCCATGACCAGTAAGTTGCTTTCACTGGTTTGTACAACAGGATAATCAGTGTATGTTGTCTTCAGTAGTGGTGGAAGAGAAGGAGGTGCTTTCCCACATCACAGGGAAGTGGATGAGTCCTGTTGCCCTCAGAGCAGCTTTGAAAAGAGCTGGAGTGAACATTTTCCCAGCAGAGCACTCTCCCAAGTATGTCCCTGTGCCCAGGAAGGTGAGTGCCAGAGGTTCCTGGTGGCTTTTCCCTGTTTTCACTCAGGTCAGCCTTTGCTGCCCTGGGAGCTGCTGTGCTGCCAGCTGAGGCAGGGCTGAGTAAAGCAGGCTCTGGCCCTGCTGGAGCACAGGGAGAGGAGAGAGATGTGTTTGTCTGGTTTGTGTTGTCTCTGCAGGGTCCCCTGGCAGAAGTGAGGGCCTATGAACAGATGGCTCTGCTGGCAGCTGCTTTTGCTTTTGCTCACAGCAAGTGGAACGGAGAAGCAGGGCCAGAGCAAGTCGTGTTCAAGGTTTGTGGAGTCCCAAAGTTCCAGGGCAGGCCAGCACTGAGCCCATCCCCAGTTAGAAACAATCAACTCACCCCGGTGGCTTCAGCCCCTGCCCCAGTTCAGTGTCACAGCCTGCCCCTGAGAGCTCTCAGGGACACAAACCTCAGCAGCAAAGACACTTGCTAAGGAAAATGGAACTGAAAAGTCACCAAGGGAGGCTTTAGCCTGAGCTGGGGTGACAGAGCGTCATGCTCTCCAGAGGCCCTTGAGAATCAGCTATCTGCTCTGCCAGCTTTGTAAAGAACTGCTGGGCCTTTGTTCCTGCCTCTAGGGTTTCTTTTGCTCCCTGCTGCAGGGGAGGCAGTGAGCAACCTCTCTGCTGGTTTGTCTGCACCTGTGAACTAAAACACATGGTTAAAACTTCTGCCAGCCAGACAAACACCCCCAGGTGTGGCTGGAGAAAGGCAGCACACGCCCCTGTGAGAGCTGCAGTGGCTCTCTCAGGTTAAATGCATGGGACACACAAATATTGCAATTTGTGCTCTGACAGTGGCACAGGCTTCACCTCAGTGCATTTCTTCCTGCAACAGGTGAGTGAACATCTGACAGCAGGTTCTGCCAAAGGCAGCCACTGGTCTCTCTTGATGTTCGATGGTGAGAAAGTGCAACACCTCAAGCTCACTGAAACCAGTGAAGCTTTTTCAGAAGAGCTGCAAGAAGAGTCTGAATTTCACTCCACACTCTACCATATGGTCAAGGAGTCTGCCAGCAATGAAGCCATGGATAAAGTGGAAAGAGCTGGCTGCCTGTTCATTGATTGTATCAGCTGCTCCTTGCTACCAGAGTCTTAGCATACTTAGATACTACTGCATGCTTTCCTTCAAAACTTTATTATCAAAAGCTTTCAATAAAGTTACATTTCAAGTCTTAAATACTTTTCTATTCAAAACATTGAAACAGGTTCTGAAATGCAAACATTTTATCTTTGTTCAAGCAAAATAAATTCTTTATTCAATTGTGGCTAGACCACCTAGACATGTTTATTGTTAGCTACGTTCAAAAAATTGCTGTTCTTTTGTAAACCTCAGAGCTGAGAGCCTTTTAGCTGCTTTTAAAGATTACTTTTGTCAGAAAAGGAAAATTTTTTTTTTTTTTTCATTTCAAGTCATGCTTTAAAGAAAAAAAACAACATCTGTCCCCCCAAAAATACCCACAACCCACCAGAACAAACCCAGACAAGTAACCTTAAATAAGGCCAGCTTCAGCTCCTGTCCTGCAGAGCGCAGCCCCGGCAGCGGAGCCGGGGTTACATCGGGGGAGGGCCGAAGTGCCGCAGTCTTACATAGGGCCACAGCAGCTGCTGCAGCGTCCTCCAGGCATTCCCACTGCACACGGGGGCTGCATCTGCCGGCCTCTGCAGGGACAGCCCCACCAGGAAGCTGGTGAGAGCAGCCAGCAGGACCAGGAGGGACATGGACGCCCAGAGGGTTTTGTTGGCGTTGCAGAAGGAAGCCTTGAGGTGGGACGCCTGCGCTGATATCGAATTGTACCTGGGCAGGGCAGGAAAGCACAGAGCCCTTCAGGCTTTCCCCGAAACGAGCAACTCTTCCCACCCCACCCAGCCTTGGAGCAAACTAGATCCCACAAACATCAAGAGTGACAGGTTGTTACTGTTTTGGGAGCTGTGCAGGGGGAGCTAAACTGTTCTGAGTTTAAAATACAGTCAAGGAAGCAAATTCTTCATAAGCTGGCCCAGCTCAGCCATCCACCCATGCTCCCTGTTTCTCGCACTGGTTCTGAAGAGCATTCACAAAAGCTGCCGTGCAAGAGCAGCAAGAAATCTTGCTCCTAGAAAGAACTGAAAGTCCTGGCCTTTTGTTTGAACCGTCTTCTCAAGTGCACCTCCCAAACATGCCTTTAACTTGTGAAAGAAACTTACATTGACTCCAGGGTCCATTTGGGTGGGTGTTTTCCTTTTTCAGAGACACTTTCCTTCCTAGCTGGTTGTTCCTGTACTTCAGCAGGTGATTCCAACTGCTCATTCCTGTAAACAAGAATCAACAGCTCCAAAACTTTGCCAAATTCACAACAGCTTGGCTTTATAGCCCTGACCAGGTGGTGAATTAAAAGCTCATTAAAAACTAAACCAGCACACCTGGGAGAAGGCTGCTGCTGAACTTACTTGGTTTCAAAAGGCTCCTCCTCATACTCTGCCCAGGAATAGGTGCTGAGGAACCTCTGCAGCGAAGGGCGCTTCTCATTCGGCTTCACCCCTAGCCTGCCCCTGCCAGGTGTTAAACACATTTGCCTGATTTTCCCCAGCAGATAGAGAGCAGAAAATCAGAAATTTAGCAGCAGCCTACTCATTTGGTTAACCACAGACAAATAACTTACAAATTTATTTGCTTGAAATTAGGACCATTAAAAAAAAACCCAAATGAAATAAAAGAAAACTACAGATCCACCTGCTGTAGATATTTAGATTTCACATTTTGGTTCTAAAGCAAGAAAGTTGTGGGATTTTTTTTTAAAGCTCTCAATGCTCAATAAATAAAAAAGGTGAGCTCACAAGGCTCATTTACCCATTACAGCACATTAAACTAATGTGAAAGGTGTAGCCTAAACATTATTGTACTCCCAAGATGCTCCATAAACTGCTTCCTACAGGCACAGTTAGAGTTGAAAAATATTTGCCCTGTTCAAAGACAAGCCCAGGTGACTTTACCAACTGCTTGATCTCCTGCTGAATCTGTCACTCCGTTCATCCCCATCGGGTTCGTGGAACTGGGCCTGGAAGAGAAGTTTGCCACATTTACTGCACTGGCATTCTGATGCTTCATCCCAGCCAGTTTTGGGGAGGTGAAGCACCTCAGCATCCCTCCAGCAGCCCCTACTTACCAGTGGCACCCCAATCCCTGCATTCCCAGCACTCCTGGGCACTGTTGCAATGCTAACTCTCCGCAGGGCTGACGAGGGCTACACAGATAAGAGGCATTACTGGCTCTTAGCAAGGCACAACTGGGTTACCCACTGAGCACACAAAATACCATCTGGTTTGTGCAGGCTATATTAAAAAAAGAGATGCTGACACCTAGCGTGAAGCGACACACAAAGAATCCAATCTCAAGTGCAGATCAAATCAGCTCTTTCAAGCAGCATCTTTCCACAGTAAGTGCTTTCTGCCCACCTGAGTGAGGCTGGCTGCACAGCTTCCAGCAAAATACCAACACTGAAGGTAACTAAATTCCCCTAACCTGGCTCACAGGAATTCCTACACTCAGCAGCTTGAACTGCTCCCATATTTTTGTGCTAAACCCTCCTTTAATTCCAAGATAACCACACATGAACAATATTCCTTAACCAGTGTGTGAGAGCCCAACCACTTCTCCTTCATCTTCTAAGGGGGACCACTTAGAAGGTTGGTGGGGTGCCTGAAAAGTAGATCCTCATGTTTGATGACACCAGCCTATATTTGTGACAGAAAAGCACCAAGTGAAGCATGCAGCAGAGCACCAGCACAAAGAAAACAAAGAAAAAATATACATACACTTAAAAATTTGAAATTTCATGTGAAGACCATTACCTTAAAGTTAAAAGGACCTGGTAGCTTCTTATTCATAGATTCATCTGTGAAGAGATCAGACATTAGAGCTTTACAGGAGGATCTTGCTGCTTACAGGAGAGCAGTGAGTTTAATTTGCAGCCTAAGGTCTGACTTTCTGCAGTGTTTGTTTAAGCAAAGCACTCTTGGAAAGCAGAAATGAGGTCTCAGGAAAAAGCTTCCTATTTCATTAAATAAGTTCATAACATTCACACATTACCTATCCTCTGCAAGCATCAACTTCTGTCACTATCATCAAATATATTTCATTATTATTTTATTATTTTCATATATTTCATTATATATGAGGTAGTTTCCTGTTACAGGACTGTCTTTGGATTGCAGTCCTGACTGCGAAAAAGTTCCTGCAAGGATTTCATGGTGTGTAAGGCTTCCCTTTTGGCACTTAAATACATCCTATTTTTCAGAAGAGTTTAATACTGGCAAAACTACAAGTGCACAACACCGGCTGCAAACCTGGCAGCTTAGAAGGGGAAATAGAGGCCCCCTGCACTTAAGGGGTTTCTAATTTCCCATGTAGAAAGGGTGCAGGTGTAGAGAGCAGCCAAAGCTCAGCTACCTAGAAATAGCTACTGTGAACAAGCACTTAAACTCACTGCTCACAAGGAACAAGACTGTCACCAGCACATGCCATGCCCTTTACTGAAAGCCAGGACATACCTGTGTGCTTGCAGTGGTCCCACACACCCTGAGACCCGTGACAGTTTAGGTACAAGTTTAATTTCAGAGAGCTGCTTTTAATAGTGTTAATAGATGGCTGTGTCCCCCCCCCCTCCCCCATTTTTAGAGGAGGTGACAAAATCACTGTATAATTCTGTCACCTAAGATGCAGAGGGATTATAGGACTATTCTGCAGCTATAAGAGCCTGTCTGGCAGGTGCTAGAGAGGGGAAAGAGGCTTTTCCTGGTTACCTCTGTCTCCAAGGGAGCTGAAGGATCTCTCGTTCTGGAGCAGGACCTGCTTGAGCTCCTCGAGCTCGGCGTGCTCTTTGGCGTACATGCGCTTCAGGTTCTCCACGTGCTGGATCATCACCTCCACAGCCTTGCTCACCCGGCTCTCCTGAGGGAGCAGGGAAAGCAGCAGCTCTCAGAAACTGTCTCATGTTTGGAGAGCACCTGCTCTCCTCTGCTATCTCACTTTTATCCTCCTTTTCAAAGCTTCAATAAACCCCTGTCCTGACACATGGTACACAGGTTCTATTTCTCTGGGGATCACTCTTCTTGTAAAATCAATGAATTTTCAGTTTGCCAAGCTCTTACAACTCATCATCATCACTTCCTCTGATCTGCAGTCACAGCTGCCACCATGCATTTGCTGGTATTGCAAAGTCATTTTTATGCTGCCCTGGGGTATTATACACAACCACACTTAACATTTGAGCAGGACTTGGTCATTTGGCTGATTAGCTGCCCTTTCCATAAGGCACAGAACCACCTTTGCAGCATCAAGGCCATTGTTACCACACTGCTTGGTATTCTGTACATCTCACTGCTGCAAAGTCTTTATTGTTTAGTTTTTTTCAACCAGAACCTTATTTCTGCTGTGGGTTTTCGCACAATTCTAGTGCAGCATAGCTGCTCTCAGTGCCTTGGATTCCTTATAAGAACACAGAGAGAAGGGAAGGCCAGGACTAAGGTGTTCTGACCAGTCTACACTACACACACCAGATTCCCAAATGCAATCCTGGAACCATAAGCCCAGCAAGATGTGGCCATCCCTTTGCAGCTAGAAGCTTTTAGCTTTGTACAAAGTACTTTTAGATGGGAAGTGTTACCTGATTAATAGCTCCCAACATCTCTGCTCTGCTGGCAACTCGAGCTGCATATTGGCTAAGGAACTGCAGGCTTTTCTGCAGCTTCTTAATGATCTCCTGTGCCTGGTTATCTTCTTCACACAAAGGAACCAAAGCCTAAGAGCACACATTGGTAAGAAAACTGGTGTGAATTATGAACAGAGAATGAAGTTTGAGCTGATGACACTGAGGAGCTGCATTCAGGCCCACATCAACATCCCTATTCAGTGTAACTTGGATAGAGAGCTCCAGTGGGCAGAGACTGGAGCATAAAAGCAGTTGAAGCAGGGGTCAGATGTTTGTGCAACAGAAAATTTGCCTGCTGCCTGTGCATGCAATACACTTGGATCAGGGTTACCCTTCATAATCTCTCATATTTCAACTGCATTGCTCCAGAACTTCATATTTGCTCATCATGCATCCCATGCACACACCCCCACTTTAAAGAGCTGTTTTAAGAGACACTCACATCTACTTATCCCATCCACCCTACCAGCCTTGGCCTTACCTCTAACATATTCACAGCATTTGTGATCTCCTTTTTCAAGTTTTCTTCAGCCAGGTCTCGGGACCTCTCTTCAAGCTTCACTCTTTTGTCCAAGGTAAACAAGTCACACTTAAAACCTAAAGACAGCCTCAGAAATTCAGCCTGTTGTGGGAGAAAAGATTTCAAAGGAATCCAAGTGATGCAGAAGTTTAGGTAGATTTGGA